GTAATCTTGTTTATCTGTTCTACAATTTTGAAATCCCAGTCTATCCCTTCCCACCCTCTACCCCCCCGGTAACCACAAGTCTGTGAGGATACTATTTATTATCAACTTTATTTTTAGCCATACAGTTTTTGTTTCTAGCTTCTGTTTTGTACTGGTTTAGGTTGACTTCCTTTATTCTCCACATCAAAAAGTTACTATAATATTTTCTCAGCATAACAATATCATCAATCTTTAAAAGATGTTCCTATTCTCTCCAGATTCCAGATACCCCAGGAGGGCTTGTAACTACATTTAAAGTTTTTATCTTAAATATATATACACACAGTTTATACTTGGACCAAACTGATGAGGATAGAGAGAGTAGACAATTCTTTCCGAGACATACCAAAGGGCCGCTCAAAAGCTCCTTTTTGTTCACACATCACAAGGTGCTTTTCTCCCTGCCCCTCCCATCACCTGTTCCTCTCCTTTGCAGCACAGCCAGCAATTAGGAGAAAATAAATGTAGAAGCACCAGCGTTCCACCAAAAAAATGTATTAAAAGGCTTCAAATCTTTTCATTTTCTTGTACTCTCCCTGAAAATAATCTTCTGAGAAAGATGGGAGGATAACCTACATGTTATGAATTGTCTAAAACTGAAAGCCAGCCCTCTACAAATGTGTGCTGCAAAGCCCTGTGATTAGAAAATGTACAGTTTCTCTTATCTTATTCCCATAAATGAAAAACCCAATAATATATGCTGGAAAATGATGGTGCTCTTTCAGCTATGAATGACTTGCAAATAATTTATTATCTGCTTTAGTTTGAAGACTTTTATTACACTTAATAGTCAGTAAATAGAAGATTGCAAACACTAGAAATGAAAAAAGCTGGGGGAAGGAACTGCAAAGTGAATTCAAACTACAGAAAAATATCTTAAGCCCTGAATTTTACTGAAATCATCTTTTACTAAATAATCTTTTTCTGCCTTGGTGCAATATATGTATATAAAACATACAATCTGACATTTACATGATTTAACTAATTAACTAGCTTCTGTTCAGTTACCTATGAGAACAAAAAGGAACATGAAAATGTCTCCACTGAATACTACTGAGATGCAAACAAATGGACGATGAGGCCAATTTTCACTAAGTATCCAGACTTTGGAATCAAAATTAAGAAAACAATTAGAAAGATAAAATTAAAAAATATTTTTGAAAATAAAACCATGCTATTTGGGGGAAATAGTTAAGGATTTTATATATAGACTTCCTAATTCTAAATCTCTATAACTGGACACAGCCATGTATTCTAGGATCTGAGAATGTGACGTCATTATTTCTGTGCTACACTAAAGAGAATGAAATGGACGTGGACATACATACATTAAGTCTCAGTATTCATATCCATTCTCTACAGTGTCTACAAGACAGCTATGAATTAAAAACAACAGAGATGACCTTGAATGATGACCCTCAATAAAACTAAGTCTTTTTTTGTAAGTGGTGATTGTAAGAGGACCAAATTAAAGAGTTGCTGAAATGATTAAACAAATATTTTATGTAAGGTCTAGCACTGAACCTGAGAGAATAAGCATGCAAAAACTGAAAGCTTAAAATAAATGAGTTGATTTATTCCTAGAATTTGAAACTATAGTTTGAAAATATGATTTAGATAGGACTAATCACAGACACTTACCTCATTTGTCAAACTATATTAAATAACTAACAGAACCACACAATTATTGTAGAATTGATTCTGATGGGATCATGCCACATTACAAATAAAATTTTAAACAATGATAAAAGGTAATCCCATATATGCAAACAATGACTTAAGAATATCTAGGCGAAATTTAAAAATAAAATATGGAAAGGAATTTGTATGACAAAGGTAACTGAGATATATCATCTGATTTAATAAGAATATAATTACGATATATGATTTTATTTATAAATCTAGGCTATCAATGTTAAATCTTTGATATACTTCTCTTAGAAGTACCTAGTATCACCTTGCATTTCATAAAGCTATTCACCTTTACACTTTTTTATTTTGTAAATTATCTTATGTTTATCTCTTTACTAGCTCAACCATTTGCTTTGTTGTACAATACAATGATTAAAAACAACAGCACACATGGAAAACTATTAAATACTATGAAATGCATTATTACCCCTAATTTCTACATGAATTAATATATCCAAAGCACGGTTGAAAAGGAAATTGGCCAAGTTAACTAAATTGTCTCATGAAGTTGAACCCAGAACTCGAATTTTTGCTGCTTACAAGGTAAAGTCTTACATTTTCATCCCTTCTACATCTGTTGGACTCTTAAATTTTAAGATTAAGTCCCTTTATTTTCCAACTAATTTTTTCTCTAATTTCGTTTTTCTTCACTATGAAACAAATGTATTTTTGCAGCCTGGAAAGGATCTCTTTGGGGGCAGGGGTGGGATGATGAGGAGTGCTGGGCAGAGGACCTAAGAAAGGAGGAGAACAGGGCATCAACTGTCATACTAAGTGTAAATGCGTGGCATCCACACATCTTACTGGAACAAGACCACTGATACCAACCCAGGTGCATTTTATCCTGAGAAAGTGAGAGTCATCTGAGGGCTCTCAGGAAAGCTAGATTCCTCGACCCTCACTATTGATATTAAGAGTTAGTAGCTATGAAGTGAAGTCCAGGATGTTGTATTTTCTAAGTACTCAAGTGATAATTACAATCATCTAGTTTAGGATCTACGCCAGAGAGCTTCAGTTTTTCTGGACAGGATAAGCTAGGTAATCTACTCATATTCCATATACAGACACTAAATTATATGATCAATTAATTCCCTGGCCTATTTTTCACTGGAGTCTCTAAAGCAACTATATTCTGTGTCATTCATCTGGTAGCTCTCATGTTCTATTTGAAAAGCGCAAGTCCAAGTATTGGCTTTGGAAGGAAGGAAGGACAAGTCTTCTTTAAGAATCGGTAACAGTTAAAAATAACAATAGCTTTGATTATGTGCCAGACACTGAAGTAAAAAACTCCCTTATATTGTTTAACCCTTACAACAATTGTGTCCTCACATACCCATCTTAAAGCATTTCAGCAGAAATTATACATAATTTATTCAATATGCTTAAAATAACATTTGGTGTACAGCAGGGACTAAACGAATTATAATTTTTGTTATTTACAAAGAAATAGAAACTAAGAGAGGTTAAATAACTGGGCCAGGTGACAAAGTCAGAATTCAAACCTAGGACTCCTCAGTTTCAGAGGCTGAACATTTTCCATTACTTATTTAAAAAAAAAAAAAAGGAGGAATGACGGGAGGCAAAGAGTCTGTGAAACACTGTCAAAACTCTCTGGATGTAAAACCCAGCAAACTGTTCACATTCTTGAAAAAAAATTACAATTCTACAGTTGTCCTAATTCTAGTCAGGTTTCTCAGCTAAAAATAATCAAAATTAACTCATTAAATGAAGCATAAAATACATGTATTGGAAGACTGTTAGGTAGCTGACAGATTCAAAGGTGACACTGTTGAATGAAGCTTGTTGAGGAACAGAAACTGGCAATGCCTGGGCAAAATTCTGCCACTAAAGTGGTCAGCCTGGAACAACACAGCTGGCTGTCCAGCCCCAGAAACTCTTTCTGACAAGGTGTGGCTGGTCTGTGGCCACTGGACGATCCCTGTGGCTCCCTTCTCCTCTTCACTCTCCTGCAGCTGCCTCAAGTGATCTCCAACTGACCCTGTGTCTTTGCATCATCCTGCCTCTGCAAATCCCTTCTTCCATTATGAGGCTCAACCCAACCTGCCAGAAGGTGAGAAGAATAACTACATTCCTTTCATCAGGGCAGATTATAGGGCTTAGGATTGTTGAAAAAGTGCCAAGCATCATATTAAACGCAGCATCTGTGGACAGCATTCTCATAAGAATCTACAAATTCTAAAGGAATGTAGGTTTTAAGCCAGGACAGAGAATGGGGGATCAATTCAGGCAGATTCCAGTCACTCTGGAAGTTTCTATATTTAGCAGGATGATCATACAGATTATCATCCAAGTTAGAATAATTCTAAGAGTTAAAAGCAGTACCATTATTGAGCATTCCAGGACAACAATCTAAACAGGGCTTATCCCAGGCAAACCTGCATGTACCATCATCTAATAATTTAAATTGATAAACCTTCTGATATAAGCTTACACTCTTCCCTACTGCCTAAGAATTAATTATCTCTTCCCTTTCCTTCCTACCTTCCTTCCTTTCTTGCTCCCTCCTTTCTATTTATGTATTTTTAAGTCCTAGAATTGTGCTCATCCAGTGGAACTTTGACCATTTAGTTGCTTCCGATTTCTCAAAATCTCTGCAGTATTAGTTTCAGATCTCTGATATTATATCTGGTGGCTGAGGTCAGGGGAAAGGAAGCTCTTAATTGCTTTGCAAGTGAATAATGTTTTTGCTCTCTGAACCTGGCCAAAACTGCTACTAGAAGTCTATGTACTTCCTGAAAAGCAAACATTCAGACAGGCTGAAACTGTAAAAGCAATATGCTCTCTGTTTTTCTAGACCACTCGGTGGGGGCATAGCAAGAAGGGGGTTGGAGGGAGAGAAAAAGAGAGGAAGAAGGAGGAAATGTGAGATGGTAGAGAGGAGAGAGCGCGCGAGAGCGAGAGAGTGCTGGGGTACGCACGTGCACGATTTTGCTCTGTGTGTGCAAATCTATTTCGCCTGCGCCCAAGAATAGATACTATACTCATTTTACGTACAGTACTGAGAAAAAAGAGAATTTCTCACATTACCTGTCGTTTCTATAGTTGACATAATTGTATTGGCACGTTATTAATGAGTCAAAATAGTTGGCATGTTTAATGACTGGAAGGTGAATATTTACTCAGACTGTGGCATATCTGAATTGAATTATTGATACAGTATTTTAATTAAACTTAGTTTAACATCTAAGTAAACAATATCTCCTATCTCTAATTTTCTTCTTACACCATCAAATTATGCTTACAACTGAATGTGCCCAACATTGTGCCAACACATTCAAATTTGTGGGTGTTCCGTCTATATGAATAGAAATCTATAGATAGCCACAGAATAATGTGTCATAAAAAGTGGAAGAGGAAAAAGTGGGGACCAGAATAAATGCCCGTTTTATTGCAGAGCCTGCTTATGGCAAGGGAAGCTATGCTAGGTACTGTACAAAGAGGAATGCTTTGTTTTGACTCTATATTATCATTATTAATTATTATTATTATTATTATTATTATTATTATTATTATTATTATTAACTTCACTAACCCTTTACTGTAGAATAACATAGTTACAGATTGTCTTAAACGTGGCTCTCCAGGATAGCAATAGATACTGTGCAACGTCTGAAATTTTTAATATCTAAAAAAACAGCCCTGTGAGGTTTTGAGTACAACAACTATCATAGTATCAACTCCTCTAAGTCCTGATCATAAAAATTGCATCTTTCATGCTGTATCAATAATTTCACAGTGATTAGTAACACAAATAGGACAGTTTGTGCTACTTTACGCAATGTGCACGTTTTCCCTAAGAAATCTAATCCCGATTTCTACAGAGGAAATTCCATTACATTTTAATAAAACTGGGAAATTAAAGTCTCTGCTTATTAAAACAATTTTTCTGTAATGTCGCAGGTGGCAATCATGAAAATCAAGGTTGGATTTCACAATTTCACATACTTTTTATTTTGTGTTGTAGCTATTTGGGTTTCAACAAATAATGGTCCTCACAGTCCATCTGTATTTTGCTTAACAATGTAGTTCATGAAAATATCAATCAAATTTAATTATAAATCAACTATGACATTAAAATAAATTGGGCATTAAGAATCATGAAACTAGTAGGTTGAAGGTGCTCAGAAGTAACCAGAAATATCAATTTAAAGAGTGAAAACGGACACTTTTACAGCCAACAGTGATATTCTAGTAAGGTATGGTTGGACACCAACTGTATGTCAGCTCCATCTTACTACACGTATGACATGTGACCAAGGTAGAGAATGGGCAAGAATAATTACTTGGTGATGTACACAAAGTGTAGAGCCAATACATCACAGCTATTTTGCATTTCCATGCTGACTTCTTGGCCAGTAAAATTTTGAAGTGATTTTTTAGCTAATAAAACTGTGGTAGCCCTATAGTTGACACATTTATTAATGCATGATTATTTACTATTCCCGGCTATATGATAGCAAGAGGAAATGCTATGCCGCCCCCTAGTGTAAATATTCATTTTGTTACACCAGAACTGCACTGATCCAGGACACGGCAAGAGAATTACAGCTACTGAAATCATTATTGAAAAGAGTTAAAAGAAATTCTAAGCTTTCCCAAAAAGCCAGCTTCCTAGGAGAACAAAGCATAGTTCCAAGAACTTTATGAGTCGAAAGAATGTCTGATATCGTAAAGTTTCCATAAGATTTTCATTTCTTTATCTACTAGAATACTTAGGGCCTAATCCATATTTAAGGGAGGAGATTTTATAAATCTTGGGGTGGGGATAATACATGGAAGAGGTGCCAGGTGTAAAAAGAGGAGAAAAATGAAAATACTGATATTGTTCAAACTAAAAGTGTCCAAATTTTGTAAATTTATACATACTGAATTGAATAGAAGACTTCCTAGATATGAATGTTTCAGTATGAAATACTGTCAATAGCTACCCCCATTTATTGGGAGTTCATTAGTGTCAAACCTTGTGCAAATTACTTTATTTGCTTCATCCCATTTGATGTGCAAACTTATTTTCTAGGCAGGTATCAGTATCATCTCCATTGAAGGAAAATATAACATAGAGAGGTGAACTTGACCAAGGTCGTAAAGCTAGTGACCAGCTGTGGTAGGCTTCTCTTATCTAATCAATCGCCTCTTTTTCTTACTAACGTAACACTGATTTTATTAAGATTAGCAATGTGCTTGGCTTAATTAGTCATGTTTCCATACTTCCCCACACTTAGAAGTGGTTCTGTGACACAGTTGCAGCCAGAGATATCAGCAAACACCACTGAGTGGGACTTCTTAGGAAAAAAAAAAAATTCGACTTTCTGTCCATCCTCCTCACTAGCTTAGAATGTAGATGTGGTGACTGGAGCAATAACCATCTTACAACTGTAGGAAAAATAAAAATAAAATCAGAGTCTTTAGCCTTGACATTATTGAGTCACTTAAAGTCCAAAAATATCTAGTTGCATATTTCTACTCTATTAAAATTTTTCTATAAAACACTATATAGATACAGAGTTGATATCTGGGATTTTGATTACAAGAAGCTTCACCCACTATTTACTGATACAGAGAGCTATCTAGAATTTGAGCTCAGATCCATCTGGTGATAAAATGTTTGTGCTTTCAGCCACTATGTAGGCATGACAGTAAGTATTTTGATGAAGACATGCTAGACTGGATGCAAGAACACAATCCTGGAGTGAAAATAGTCATTCTCTTCCCTACAGTGAAGGTATTTTGTCCCATTTCAGCAAGAAGTGATTTGCTAAATAACAGGTTTTGAGGGAAATACCACAAAGATAACTTTTCTGTACCTTCACTGACACTTCCTTGGAGGCCACTGGACCATGTCACTTGAGACCCATTCATTAAACAAAGAGAGAATCCATATTTTATCCCATCTTTCTGTCCTTGACCGCTTGTAAGAAAAACCATTTAGTACAAACGCCTCATTATTAAATCCCTTCCTTTTTCCTAACTGGTTTCACTTCCTCCCCAGTTAACTTATTGTCCAAAACTCTCCTGAGTTCCATCATTCATCTAAGGTGCTTGGCAATTTCCTAAATTCTCTCCAAATAAAATTTGCTTGCTCCACATCAAACTCTTTAGGTGTTTCCTATCTGAAGGACACAAGGCAATTTGGATTTGAGTCATCATTAATACACTGACCCCACCTCACCCCCAGGGGCTGAATACGGGAGGAAATCCATGCAGCGGGACTAACCGAGCCCCTCTGCCATAGTTCAGCAAGGTCAGGAGAAAGCTGTGAGGCTCAGATCAGAGCTGGGCATTATTCAGCTTCACAGGAGGCGTCCAAGGTGAGCCCAAGAACTCTGAGCGTTCCCCTCAGGACTCTTGCCTCTTTGTCACCCTCCCCCGTTCCACTGCTACAGCTACCTGCACTGGGATTATCAGAACCAATTTTATTCTGCCCTGCTTTATTCTGCCCTGTATCCGCAATAATGTCAGTTGCCACAAGAAGCCCAAATTCCTTTTCATTTTCTGGACTTCAGTCTCCATGTGATTATGTCACATCCTCTTATGACACAATTCTCTGTATTTCTACATGTCCTAACACACTTGGACTGTGTCTTGAATTCAGAATTGTCCCATATCAATGAAATCTCTATAGCTTTAGACTTTTTGCTGGTGTTTCACTACACCATTTTGCTCCAACTGAAGTTTTTCTCTCTTGAAAACTCCTTCCCCCGTAATTCTCTCAAGGGATGGGTGAGTTTTATCTCCCCAAGTCCTCATATTAATGTGGCAGTGCAGGGCACACGTCCTCCATTCTCCTTCCCTCCCTCATCCCTAAAACTTCCTGGCTTTCGATCTCCTTTCCTGGAAATTCTCTTCTGTGATGGTCCTGCCTCCCTCTCATTTGGAACCATCTGTTCTCATGCCATACCTGAGAAAGAAAAAAGCAGCCCCGACGAAGCGTCAGCTAGGAGCTTGTCTGGATCTAAAAGCAATGTGTGGTGTTCTGTTATCAAACATGAACAGTCTCCCAGTCCACTAACATCAGAAGAGGTCATCTAAGAGCACAATGGAAGTAGGAGAAAACAAGACCACTGTGCAATCATGTTTGAGCACAGATGAAAACAAAAACACTGTTGTTACCAAACCTCCAATCTGCCAGCCAACATGAGCAAAAGCTGCTTCTTCCCCAACTACAGCTTGACCCCACTCCGTTCCTCATCTCCTACACAAAAAGCACTAAGTCAGCCAATCAGAGAACTGGCCCTTCTTCCTCACAGGATGATCCAGAATAAAACAATGTGTTAAGAAACTCTACACAAAATCACCTTACAGAATCCCAAATCCTATAGAACTCTCCCTAATTCATCTTCAGGAGATGCATCAAGGTCCCTCATGGTGTACACTTCATCTTGTTCCAACAAGTACCAATATGTCCAACTTGGTTCGGCTAGAGCTGTGTTCCTGGTGGGTTTTGGCTAGTGGTTACTGACATCATTCTGTATGTTTTTCATAAAAAACATAAAATCTTCATTTTACACAGCCACTCTTTAAATTTTCTTAAATGTAGGCTATCAAAATGAACACTTTTGATATTAAGTTTAAAAATATTTCCTCTCATTTAAAGACAGCCTGATTTTCTTCAAATACAATAAATGCATGTATGATTAGCTGCCATTGGAGCTGAACAGATAAGGCTTCTTATATTTTACAGTTTTATTAAAGCTTTTTGGGAGGAGGCGGGGGATTGATCGAGAGATAAGGTAGTCCAGACAAATATTACAATAAAGTTATTATACATTCCTTTATAAAACAACGGAACCATTCCACATTAAGTTCTATCAATTTTTAAAGCTGAACAGTTTAATGATGTCAATTTCACCTGTTTCCAATTAAATCCAATTGGAATTGGATATGATTTATATTTCAAATATTGAGCTGTTTTATTGTAAAAGAGATGTCATAACTGATCCTTAGGGTGTCATCTGGGGCTCTCCAGATAAACAGAACCAAGAGGAGAGATGGAGAGAGAATGGGGCGGGGTAGGGGGGAACATATGGAGATGGAGGAGAGGGAGGCAGAGGGAGACAGGGAGGAAAAGAGGAGAGAGCTTTATTTTAAGGAGCTGGGAATCGACTCAGTTGGGCTTCAGCAGGGCAGGCGAGTAGGCTGGAAACTCGGAGAAAGATTTGATGCTGCAGTCCTGAGGCAGAATTTCTTCCTCACCAGGAGAACTCAAGTATTTGCTCTTACAGCCTTTCAACTGATTGTATGAGACCCAGCCATATTATAGAGGGTAATCTCCTTTACTTGAAGTTGACCGATTAGAAACATTAACTATACCTACAAAATACCTCCACAGCAACTAGATTAGTGTTTGTTTAAATAACTGGCGACTATTCTGGTTGATATGTAAAACTAGTCAGTACACTCAGCAGAGCTCATTTTTCTTAAGCTACTTAAGTAAAAAGTGTTTTCTTATCATTTGAATATGGCATTGTCATCATAAACGTTTAATACGTTAAATGTACTTACATTTAGAAAAGTATGTAACTTTCTTCTAATGGTGCCAAGCCATTATGAAAGAGTCCAGAGTACTACATCAGGTAATGGACTTTGTTATTTTGACAACTAGGACTGAGTTTTAATTATTTATTACCCCACTTTATCTTAGACTGTGCTAGGAAATGTACTGTAATACGTTTATAAAATTAATGAAATCTTATAGTTGAAAACACCATCACAATATTTTATGTACGATAAGAATTTTCTCAGAGGCAGAAGATAATTTAGAATGAGATAAAACAGATCAAATGGTTTCAGGCTAAGATTTTTAGAGAATAGAATTAATACAATTATTAATTTGTAGCTAGCAATATAAAAAGTGATGAATAAGTATAAATAATTTCTTGATGAATTTTTGGGGGCAGTATACCACAGATTAAAACTGCTATGTTTTCTCCTCTCTAGAAAGATTACTCAAACTCCTAATAAACAACAATTGCCTTCAATAGTAATATCTCAGTTAAACAGGGTCCCTAGAGAAAATTATCTCAACACTGTATTATGATTCCAATTATTAAAAAGTATGATTTCTCGTGTGCATAATACTTTCACAAAACTGTTTTCTAAATATGTTACACGAACTAAACATGTTTACCAAAAGTATAAAGAATAAAACTACATTCAAAATTAATTTTTAAAAAGACCAAAAACAGCAAAAAATTACCACAAACACCTGTGGTCTGAGCGAAAGTGTGCAATTCTAAAATGAAAAAATGCATCATCTTCAAATCCACATTTCTTTATTATGATAGTATTCTTAGCTATATGACCTGGAGAATACTGTTAAGCAGTTCAACCGAAAAACAGTTAACAGTATAGAAACACATGAATATGCCAAAAACTTATTGGAAGACTACTGTCTGTCTAAAAGTTGGCACCATGAAGGGCACATGTAGAATGATGAAAATGTTTCTGTCTTCCTGTGCGTAAAATTTGGTTCTCAGACTAAACAAGAGGTAGAAAATTCGAGTGCCTTCATTGGTCAGGAAGGTAATATAAATAAGTGAAAACTTACATAACAGTAAAAAACAGTACAGACAGTAGCAAACTATAAAGTGTTTTTCTCTTTGAATGGCATTTAAGCCCAAATACTTTAAAACACAGTGCACACTAAACTATTTCGGCAGCCTGAATTTGGCCCTGAACACAACTATATGAAACCTTTGGACTACTGCTCCCCAGGCTCTTGTTGTTCATGTAATCACAGTCATCAATAGACCGGAACATACTGGGTGCATAACTGAGAAACACAGAAAAGACAATATGTCACTATTTGAAATTCAGCTATCAAAAATATGTTAAATAATCGATGAACTAAAAAAGATATGTTAGAATCATGGGTATTACTTGACAACATTTGTCTTAAAACATCGCTTATATTTTTGAGCAGTTCATAATGTCAATATTTCAACCTTCAGTTACTATCCTTATTCCAATAATGTGCACTGAAAATGCAAATGTTGTAAAGTTTTGCCAGAGTGAAAAACAAGTATAGCAAAGAATGTATGACACCTTAAGTTCAGAAAAGTGAGACACAAGGTAGTCTTCAATACTGAATGTGTAATAGTTCAAGAGAAACTTGGAGAAATATATAACTTATTAATTATGTGAGCAAGCTTATAAAGCAGGGAAGTTTGGTAATATATTGCTCACCCAAAACCTCACCCCTGACCTTTCTAGAGGATATTAATCCAACAATAACATTTCAGCAGCACTAATTCAACAATTGGCTTCTTTAGTCTTATGTGCAATCTTAAATGTGCCACATAAATGGGTTTTAGTGAGTGAAGAAGCTTTTTAAATTATATTCTGTAGGAGACATAGAAATGTGTAAGAGAATAACATGAATAATAATGTTGTATTAGATTATGATAATTAGAACAAAAGTCCACATAGTATATTTCAAAGGCCTACCTAATTTTAGTGAGTTCCTATATACACAAGGAAAAAATCCAGAATTTTTTCATACTGTTCAAAATGCATACATATGAAAATGTCTTGAGTGACAAGGAACTTGCAAACTTGTCAAAATACGTGAATATTTTTTCAAAACATTCTAAATGAACAGGAGCATCCATGAATATATCTTAATGCATAATATTTAGTGCACAATACTTAGCACAGAGCCTGTGCGGCTTAGAATAGTGCTTTGCAATTAAAGCATCTTGATAAATCTGAATGAACTAAATAACAAATATGTTGAGAGCTGATTAGTAAATCAACACAACTTTTCTCGCCAAACCTGGTACTTAGTATTTTGGAAACGGAGGACAGCCTTCAAAAACAAGGCTTAGGCAGGACAAAAATTACTCATGGCTGCATATTGGAGGATGATAAATAAAATAAATGTGAATTCAAATTATTCTGTGAGTCTGGCACTCTTTCTCCATGCCCAAAGGCAAGTGGAAAAGTAGAGTGCCTTCAAATAATGTCTTCACACAATAGATGAAATCAATACCATCACTTCATTAGTATGAATATTATCATACCAATTTCTATGGCTTCCCTAATTTAGTGCATCAATTATAAAGTAAATATGTCTAGTCAGGAAATCTGCATTATAATATTGACCCAGTGTATGACCTCAAAACCAGTACTCATTATTTTTGAATTTCATAGTTATAGAACAGACAAAATGCTCTTGTGGAATACAAAAATGCTGACCAACTGTATTACCAGAATGTAATAAACAAATTAATAATGATTTCCAAAGTTCCACAGACAAACTCCAAATTCTGTATTAAAAGTGATTAAATATATATTTAAATTATGTATTAAATATATGTAATAATATTTGTATTAAAAGTTTTAAAATATATAATTAGGGCAAAAAAACTGTGGATCAATTGCAAAACATTAAGTATAACAAAATGTCTTTATCCAAAAAACAATTGCATACACAATGCAATGATGGTTTGGAATAATCTAAGGAAAAACAATGAGAATATATGGATGATAAACTTCATTCATTGTCATTAAATCATATATCTTATTCAGATATATTTTGGAGCACTAATAAAATATTAGCTTATTTCTTATTCCATGGTATTAAAGCTATATCATAGATATGATGCTAATTATAATAGAAATCATGACAAATAGAGTGACCTTTCTCTTTTCTTGTAGGACCTTGCAAAATGGAAATTTGTATATTTTCCGTTAAAATTGTGAACAGGAACAAATTTAAAAGCTCAAAAGTAGGGTCAAGATTAACAACAGGCTTAGTCTTTAAGTATTTCTTAAAATTTCATTGTGTAAATGACACAATATGAGCTATGGGAAGGCCTGGACATTTTGATAATCTCCTCAATATGAGTGACAGAATTACATTCTGGATTTAGGAATAAAGTTGTTAATGTCACTAAAAACTGAGTTTTATTCTGTAAGTAACTTTATAGGTAACTTCTAATTCATGAAAGAACACTGCAGTTAGCAGTTATAGGCTATCTTAAATCAGTTCAATAACTTTTAAAGACTATAAAATCATGTTTTAAAAATGTGAATTTTTTTAAATGTTCAAAATATCCATTAGTTATCTAGTGACTGAAAATAATTGGAATCTCTTTGGAAAAACCAAAGTACCTCTTCCCTGAATGGGTTTTATGTTTTAAGTTATGCCTTCCTGAAATAATAAAAAAAAGAATAAGATACTATTAAAATTATTTTAATACATATTGCAAAATGCAGAATGTGATGTTTTTAAAGGCAAAACTTCAAAATACGTCAAAATCAAATAGAAAAGAAACTAAAAAAGATCTTATAATTATTACTCTACAGAACTGGGGTTAAAAATGTGACAACCATAAATTCTTGCTTCAAAATATTCAAAATGTAGCATATATACATTTTGAAAATAATATTTGTGTTTCTTATTAAGGTTGCTATTTCCGAGAAGTTACAGGTTCAGTTTTCTGTTTTTAGCTTATAGTAAGAAGTTTGAGCTTATCTTTAGTCCTCATAGCATCCTATGTGCTATAAAAGATACATTTTTAGGTAAGTATAGGAAGTTCTTTAATAAAAAATCCATTTATGAATATATTTAGAATCTTTTCTGAATTTAAAGACAGGCATAAATCTCACCCTCTTCAAAAACAAAACCATCGAAAGACACAGAAGACAAATATATGACATATATTACTCGAAAGTAATAGTTTCAAATATAGGGGAACCATATATGAAAATCTATGTAATTTCAGGCAGTGTAAATCTCTTACACAGGAAACACAAACTTGGGCAGTTTATAAACACAACCTTGAAGGATTAACTATGAAGTCCCTATAAGTCCTTTTACTATAACCAAGGGAAATAAGGCAGGAGCTATTTCTAAGCTTTTTTTATCCCAGTGTGTTGCTTCGGACATGTGCATATATTTAGGTGTATTCATCACATTTAGGTGGCTGCTTTTTAACACCTATTTTCATTTGAAGATTAAACTGGTAAATCTACACTTTAACCTAGCTGTTGTCAATGAGTGATAAAGAACTAATCAACTTCAGACCGACAACAAACATATCAGCATAAGTAAGTTCAGCTTTTGATAGAAGCCCAAGGTTGACTTAAGAATCACAATTAACAGAATTTTAACAAGTTGAGATCTGGCAAATAAATTTTTTTTTATGAACTTTACTTCATGGTTTGATCACCTACATCATCACTGTAACTATGGAGATGAGATCGTGTTCCATAAGTTTGCCTTTTCCCATAAGTGAAACTTGAATTAAAAAACAAACCAGTGCTTACTTTTTTCAAAATGAAATCCCTCCCCCAAAAATATTGTCTTCACATGTAATGGAGTTCTCTAAGTCTAGCCAGAATAACTGTCATAATTCACTTAGCCTTTGCTTACTGCTCTGTATAGTACTCCACTAAAGAAGACCACAGAAGAGTATTTTCACTTTCAACAACAATAAACAATCTTATCCAGAACAATAATAAAAGCAATAAACTAACCCTGCTTCTTTGAGTCTTAAAAGAGCTGAGGAGTGTATCCAAGAGATACAAGGGAAAAAAAATATTAAATGCATCACATCAATGTCAGAATTCACTTAAAATTTCAGATGAGAACTTTTCATTCTTGAAAAACACATGCAACATCACATTTTTTTTAATTTATGTAGAATCATTTTACTAGATATATAAAGAAAAGTAGATTAAGAATACTGTATTTACTTTTGGACTAATTTAGTCTGTCCTTAAACGCCTACCCTACCTATTCAGGGCTAAGTACTCACCTTATGAAAAGGGGGGCAGGAGGCGGTGCTGCTTGCTAATGGACCCAGACTTTAGTGAGGCATACATTTGCATATTATCTCCTTACTCTGGCTCTACTCTTTTTTGCAGTACTTAGCCTAATGAGCCTTCCTCTACTTCTTTTTTTTTTATTGGAGTGTATACTTCGCAGGAGATACCAAGACAGCCAGTTCCGCAGGAAGGTTTTGTAGCTAAAGGAATTTGAAAGAAAAAGTAAGCGCTATCACCCTGTACTATCTCAATGCTCAGCACATCTCTCATCCATCAAGGGTCCTTTTCCTACAAGAATGCTGAAAGAGAAGCTCTGTGGTCCGGTGAGAACCTCCCAGGACATGTCTGTCTAGCATATTTCCTTGTGGCTCTGATTGTGTCAGAACGCTCACCCTTCACACTTGTCTCCAACCTCTTTCTAATGAATAGCTTAAAAGTTGACGGCATGACGTTCTGGAGTCACTCTGTTAAGCTCTGTGCTGACAACTTCTCACTAGAGAAGTTTGCTGCCAGTCCTTCCGGAGACAGCCGGAACACAAACTCCTTCTGAGACCATCACTCAATCCCGCCACTTGCCCCGCGCCACCAGTCACATGGCTCCCTGCCTCCATGAGAGGCACCCACACCCTCATTCACCTTCAGCTTCCTAGACCGAAAGATGCTATGGGTCACTGGGGGTTAGGGTGCTCTTTTATTTTTCTTTCTTAAAAAGAGGCCCTGTTGACACATTTTGGTTCAAATAAGGAGAAGCTGTGGTAATTTTCACCATTACGGAGTGAGGTGGAGAGTCCCGAGCGTTGTCTAAGTGTCAACCAAAGCCATGCATCACAGCTTCCCTCAGATTCCTCCCTTTTTCTTCACCTAATTCTCACCTCCTGCCCACAAGATAAATAAATGAATATACTGTAAACCAAACTGAACTGCGACACCTCAAATAATCTCACAGAAACCTCAATTCTCCAAATGCCCTCTTAAACAGCAGAGAGACAGAGAGAGACGCAAACAGAAGCGATTACCAGAGTTTTGTTCCCGTTCTTGCTGAGAGGGCCCCGGAAAACTCCCTTGATGTTGCGAAAGTGTCCGTTGCTGAGATGCGTGGAGCTGATGACAATGTAGTAACACTCCATGGGGCAGCCGCCGCCTCCTCCGCCGCAGCCGCCGCTTCCATGCACCCCGCGCCCGCAGCCGCAGCGCGCCGGAGCCCGCGGAGGGTGGGCTGGGGACCCGCCGCCGCCGGGAGGGCGAACCGCCCGGCGCCTCTCTCGCACGCCCTCCGGAGACAGGCGCGCTACACGCCTCTGCCGCGCGCGCCGAGGCTCCTCCGCCTCCGCATGCTCGCCGCGCTCTCCCTGTCGGGCTCCGTTTCTCTCCTAATTCGCCCTGGGGCGACGCGCCTCGCGGGAAGATCCCGGGCTGGGAGGGGCCGGCCAGGCAGCGCCGAGCGCGGCGCGAGTCAGTGCCCGCGGCGCGGCCGA